AATTCTAAATTTTGGCAATTTTTAACTCTTAACAATTTAAAAATTTTTTAAACTTGAACTCTTAAAAATTCGAACTCATAACAATTCTAAATTTTGGAAACTTGAACTCTTAAAAATTCTAACTCATAACAATTCTAACTTTTGGAAATTCAAACATTTAGAAATACGAACTTATCACAATTCTAATTTTTGGAACCTTGAACTCATAACAATTCTAAATTTTGGAAGCTTAAACTCATAACAATTCTAAATTTTGGAAACTTGAACTCTTAAAAATTCTAACTCATAACATTTCTAACTTATGGAAATTCAAACATTTAGAAATACGAACTTATCATAATTCTAATTTTCGGAACCTTGAACTCATAACAATTCTAAATTTTGGAAACCTGAACTCTTAAAAATTCGTAATTTTATAAATTCGAACTCATATAGAATAGCCTTCCGGCTAAACAAAATTTTGTTTTGAAACAAATAAAAAAAATTTGAAAAAAAACCGTTTTGTTGATATTAAAAAAAATTCTTTTTTTGAGAAATTAAAAAAAGAACATTTTCGTCCTAAAAATTCAATTATTTCCCCCTTTTTTCAATTTTGTTTTTATCTACCTCACACTTTTGGGTATGTAATAAATAATTCGCATTCATTTTCAAAAAGCAATAATGTTGATATTCACGCGATAACTGTCGAAAACCATTAAGCTGAAATGCATACATATATATTCGAAACTTCAACTCAATCACATCTTGAAAACGTAATGCACACACAGTACCAAAGAGACTTCTCTACATAACTTTATGTACATATATATATATATATATATATATATATATATATATATATGCGATATAATATGCAATATAGAGACGGAGACAATGCCATGTGCAGATCTTTGAGTAAGGCTATATATTTGAAATATTCTCAGCACGTACTTTTGTCTGTATGTATTAATGCGTTCCTATAGATAGATATATATATAGAGCGAACCATTATGTTTTATCCCTTTTATCCGCGTTAGCTATTTCACAATACTCGAGTTGTAACGATTTATCAAATTCAAAGAAAACAACCTCTCTCTCTATATATATATTTTGGGTCGCAAGTTGCTCCCTTATATTGCTTTGGCAATTCCCCCTTTATCATTAAAACAATGAGCACGCGACAACAGGTGTTGCCTCGTTTTCAATTCACTGACAATGATCGACGGGTTATACACTAATCAAGCGTTAACACTCGGATTAATTTGTGGCCTTGCCAAAATTTACTTAATATTCATCAAAAACCAGTGTGAAATCCAGCAAATCCCACATTATGTAAATATATTCACTTTATTTCATTGCTACTACTATCACTAAAGGGAAAAAATTTACAAATAATATTTAGAATTATAATTTATTATATAAATAATAATTTAATTAATTATTTTAATAATAAAATATATTATTATTATTTATTATATAAATAATAATTTAATTATTTTAATAATAAAATATATTATTATTTATTAAGTTTTAATTTATTTTCCTCTTCGATTAAGAGTATTTTTTTTTTTTATTAATACTATTAAGAAGATTTGAGGAGAAAATTTTTTTTAGGTCATTTCATTTCTCAACTGTCTTATATTTATACAGAACAAACGATGTCTCGTCGATTGTTATAAAAAATTAATTGCTACTTAAAATATCAGGCACTCTCAATAAATTATTAATTTTTCAATCGTTTTTAAATTTTATATCAAAAAGAAAATTTAAATACTATTATTTATTAATGGAATAATACGAGTCTTCTTCATAAATAATTGTTGAAAATTTTCTTCTCTCACAAAGAATTCGTTTTCATCTAATCCATAACTATTTCAATGAAATTCAAAAGGTATGCGAGAACACCTGGATAAAATCGAAAGAAATAACGTCACTTCTAATCCTCTTTATATTTCATTTTTAGAATATAATTATTTTCAAATAATTATAATAATATAATTATAAGAATTATTAGAATATAATTATAAGAATTATTAGAATATAATAATTATTATATAAGAAATAATTTATTCAATGTTTACAATATTTCCACTTAATTGGAGAATAATATATATATAATTTTGAAACCCCTGGTGAGATATAATTGAATCGTTTGCTAAGGGGTTGTGATTCAGTTATACTGGTGTCATCCTTGCTGATTGGAATTCAATAGCATTAAATTCTCAAATGGAAATCAATTTAGTTTCAAGGAACCTGAGGATGAAAGGGTTTTATATTTTTTTTTAGAGAAAATCTCGTTGTGTTTGAAGGATGAAAGTCTCACATTGATATTACAATAATTTTCATGATGAAAAGCCACTTTATTCTCAATTTCATTTTGAAAAAAAAAAAAAATAATAATCTCAAAGAAAATGAAGAAGAAATCGAAGAAAATAAAGGAGACGAAGAAAATGGAGAATATATAAGAAGACAAAGAAAAACGAGAATGAATGAATGTTCCCTAACCTACATAACATTGAGTAACTGGATCATTCTCAGGATACCCTGAGCATCTGCTCTCCGTCATCTTCAAAGGATTCGGAACATTCTACGAATACCAATCGAAACAATGTTATCTGGAATGCAAAATTACTATAAGAAACGTCTTTCTTAAGTGGTTCATATTGTGAAACTATAAATATACGTCTCAACGCACAATACGTACTTTGGAATTTTAATTAAAACTTTTCATTTTACGTTTGTTAAATTCAAATAATGTAACACGTGTGTGCTACTAAAGAAAATTACTCGTACAAGTTAAAGGCGCGCTTTTATCTTTTTCCAAATTATATTCCCATATTTTATAATTAAATATACCTGTTTAATTAAATTTTATTATTCAAAATTATTATTCTATAAATTATTTATAAATTATTTATTATTATTACTTTATAATTTAATAATTGCTTTATTAAACTAATAAAATTTTAATAAATTAATCTAATAGAATTTTAATAAATTGAACTAATAAATTTTCTAATTAAAATTTCCCATTTCTCACAAGAATAATCATTATTTTAATTATTAGAATAATTTAATAATTTAATAATTTAATAATTAGAAATAATTAGAATATCAAGTAGTGTTATATATATGAACTGTGTGTTTCAAGACAAATTAATATTATAAACAAGAAATCATAATAATCATGAAACATGATATTAATAAATCATTATTCAATTAGAATTGAAATTATAGTAACCTCAAAATTTATAGTTAATAAATCCTACAAAAGGGCATACGTGACATTCAATGACGTCATATAGAACAGAACATTAAACATTCTCAGCAGTCTAATAATTTTCAAACTGAAGGTTCAAATTACGATTTAATTAATAATTTCCCCATTCAATGTAATACTGTTTATTTGTATATAATTAATAATATTTCTTTTATTTTAAAAAATATATAAAATTTTCAAGAAAAATAAATACAAAAAAAAATTAAATATAATTTTACATTTCAAATAAATAGAATTTCATATCATTTTAAAAATGTTGAAATTATTTAATAATGCAATTTACATCTTCGTTTTGCTTAAAATAAAATTACAGTTAACTTCTTTTAATGTCTCAGTGCAATGACGTCAGAAAATGTTACATATGGACTCATAAACTTTTTAAGTTTATTACTATTGATAATCTTAATTATTCGGATAGAAATAATTTTGTTTTAAATATAAATTTAAAGAGAATATAATAACATATATTACAAAGAAAATGACGGATTTGTATTTTTCAACAAAAAAAAAAGGGAAATATAAAATAAAAAAACAGTAAGATCAAAAAGAATATTGAGAAAAATTTGAAGCAGAATATTGAGAAAAAAATATTCAGAATATCGAAAAGAAGAATATTATAAGAATATTGAGAGTAAAAAATATTTAGAATATCAAAAAAAAAAAAAACAAAAAAAAAGAATATTATAAGAATATTGAGTAAAAAATATTAAGCAGAATATTAAGAAAAAAGTATTAATATTAAGATTAAGAAAAAATTATTAATAGAAAAAAATATATAAAATATGAAAATATATTAAGAATTATAAAATAATTAAGATGGAAAACATTTATCGCTCAATATTATCGATAGTAAAAAATTACAAATATAAAAAAAACCATTTTTTCTTTTATCATCCCCTCGTAAATGAAATTGACTTTTAAAGGTGTTGTATGATTTCGATATTCCGTGACTGAGATATTGAAGAAAAATAAAAAAAAAAAAAAAAAATTACGAAGGGGGAAGTATTAGCTACAACTGACGTATCAATGTATGTAAGAGGTACAAGATAAAATATATAATTGGCATTCAGGGGAAGTATATATCCTTGCGTGCAAAATGCATGCTAAGATGCTTAGATACGAAAGAAGAATAATAAGAAGAAATATAGAAGAAGAATATAAAAAGAAGATAAGAAAAAATTTTGTGCGTAAAAGAGTGTTGATTTTTTTTTTTTTTTTTAATTGTATACTCGGCAAGCAAATCACAAAAAAGTGAAAAAATCCTGAATTAACTAATTGCACAGTGATTTCAAGGCACTGCAAAAGTGAGTTCTTTAAAAAAAAAAAAAAAAAAAAAAGTAAAGCTTAAAAAGCTCGTGTTTACTATATATAGTAAGCGGCTAGTACCGCAATTGTCAAAAAAAGAAAATCTCGTCTATCCAAAACGAGATGTGTCTCGTCGCGCGCGCGGAAATCATCACTAAGCGGTATACACAAACAGTTCAGGAAAAAAAAAGGAAAACAATAGATTGTAGAGAAGAGCGTTGGTCATTCCAAAAACAGAGGTTTTAGTGGTCAATCGATCCACATCTAAGAATAAGAGCTAAGCCAAACTGTCAATACGCCCCCATTTTCAGTGCAGATTCTCATCTAATTGATTCCATGTACAAGTTGCAGTAGCAGTTAACAGTTACTCGAATATGGCCATCTAGGAATCATTCCGGTTGATTGTAGACACATGTCTGTGTGTAATCAAACTCACGTTGCTTGAGCGTAATTTTTTTTTTCTATTTATAAAAACCGTAATTTGCCAAATTGGGCAGTGCGTAGTTTTTTTTATCCCTTCTTCTTCTTATTCCTTTCTTTTTTTTATATATTATAATAATTAATAATAATTATATGTAAATATAGGAATCACTTGGTCCGGGTATATGAGAGACGATATAGGGTTAAGTCGCGTGTCTCGAACGAGAATTGCCCGAAGCGAGTATATATGGTAAGAGGGTATATAAGAGAGAGGAAGTAAAAGGAAGTAGCGAGCCAGGCAGGCTGGCCGAGCCAGCTTAGCAAGGAAGCGTCTCGTCGGACGCACGAGACTCCCGCGCGGAGTCCAACGTTCCGCCTCACTGCCGGGCTCACTGCAGGCTGTGACGCACCATCCCCTTCTACTTCTGCTGTTCTACCTCCGCGCCTCCCTGCTCCCTCGCTGCGGCGACCACCTTTCCAACCCTCTCTAACACAAACTGCCTCCAAACCACCCTCCCCTCAAGCCGGTGGTGTATATTCACCCCCAAGAGTACTCTCTCTCTCTCACTCTCTCTCTTCTCTCGCGCGAGATCTAACAACCGCCAGCGGCTCTATCCTTATCTCACCAAACCCCCTCCCCTCTAACCCTCTACCACCCGGCCTCCTCCTCCTCTTTCACCTACGAATCCCTCAAGTACGTACACGAGACGTGTACGGAACAGCAGCGGCCGGGCCAACGCCGCACACCTGCCGCCTGCGCCGTACCCAGCGAGCACTGCCGGTGCATGCATATACGCCATAGCACCAACTCTATATACTGCATGCCAAAAGCACGCACCAACACTATCTATCCAAGTAAAATAAAGAAACACAGAGAATCATATGTCAATTAATGCCAATGATATTTTCTTTTTCCATTTCACTTGCGAAGAAAGAAAATTTATTTTCCGCGAGAAAAAAAATATACCGGGAAAAAATTATAGAATTCAAATATCTTACATGAAAAATATAATTCAAAAATAATTTCTTCTATACTTATTTTCAGTGTGGAAAATTTTAATCAGCCCTACACTGAAAAAAAAATTTATTTGGTTCAAATACCGGTGTATTTGGTTATTATCAAATAAATATTTACTTGAATCAAATATTTCTTATTTGAATCAAATAAATTTTTTTTTCAGTGTAGTGATGATCATGTTAGGAAGGCCTAAATACGCAATTATTTCTAATACAGAAATTAATAAAACACTCACCGATCGGTGAATCTCTGAGCCACTGTCGAAGTTCCCTGCTGCTTTCTCCCATTTCTGCATGCTTGTATGCCGCTTTTCCTCCTCTTCTTATTACAACACTAACTGAAACAAAAAATATTTAATGCATTTAAACCATTACTTTCTAAAAAAAACATTTCTGTCCTAAATTATTACTATTCAGAAGGGCAATTTCTATTTTTTTATTTTCTACCTAAATAAACAGTAAAACAAAAAGTCACAAATCAATTTCTTTTCTATTTTCAAAAACTATCATATAGAAAAAAAAAAATCTACTTTAAGAGGAATATAAAATTTTTTATCACTTCATATACATCTGTCGTATAAAAACGAATTATCGCCTTGAAAAAAAAAAATCAGTTCCGTACACCCGTCGAATTTATTTGCAATACAAATATAAATTTAAAAAATAATGTTAGCATTATGATAAAATATAATTTGCACACAAAAAATTTCCAAATTTTTTGGATTAGAATTTTTATAGTAAAGTAAAATATTTACCTTAATGACGAATTTCACAACTTCCAGCCGACAGTTTCAAAACTAAAAAGTCCTCGGAGATCCCTACTTTCAAGTTAAATTTCCGCATTTAGAAAATGTGAAAAATAACCGTAAACATAGACCGAGTTCTAATAAGTCTGAAACTGGTGAATATGAAGAATTCGGTGTCCTTCAAGATAAGATACCGTTTTTTATTTTTGCCCTTATCATTGAAGTGACACCGCCAGCCATCCAGGATAGAATCTGAAACAAAAAAAAATTAAATTAGGGTCTGTATTTATTACACGGACGTAATGAATAGATATTAACAGGTCAAAACATCATTTTCGAACTTTGTAAAAAATTAATATATCTATTAAAACTATCGGGCAAATATTAAAAACTCTTGTATAAGACTACCACTATCTATTCGGTGAGATTTCCTATTAAATTCATTATCCTTAATATAACCTATATTTTCTATGTCTTTCTGCAATTTAAATATGAAACCGTTGGTAACAAAAAAAAATAAATAAATAAGAACAACATGCAAAAAATTACCAATGATTTTTACAACCATTGATAACAACTAACTAAAACTACATGCAAAAATTACCAATGATTTCTACAACCATTGATAACAACTAAAACTACAAGCAAAATTACCAATGATTTCTACAACCATTGGTAACAACTAACTAAAACTACATGCAAAAATTACCAATGATTTCTACAACCATTGATAACAACTAAAACTACAAGCAAAATTACCAACAATTTTTACAACTATTGATAACAACTAACTAAAACTACATGCAAAAATTACCAATGATTTCTACAACCATTGGTAACAACTAACTAAAACTACATGCAAAAATTACCAATGATTTCTACAACCATTGATAACAACTAAAACTACAAGCAAAATTACCAATGATTTCTACAACCATTGGTAACAACTAACTAAAACTACATGCAAAAATTACCAATGATTTCTACAACCATTGATAACAACTAAAACTACAAGCAAAATTACCAATGATTTCTACAACCATTGGTAACAACTAACTAAAACTACATGCAAAAATTACCAATGATTTCTACAACCATTGATAACAACTAAAACTACAAGCAAAATTACCAATGATTTCTACAACCATTGGTAACAACTAACTAAAACTACATGCAAAAATTACCAATGATTTCTACAACCATTGATAACAACTAAAACTACAAGCAAAATTACCAATGATTTCTACAACCATTGGTAACAACTAACTAAAACTACATGCAAAAATTACCAATGATTTCTACAACCATTGATAACAACTAAAACTACAAGCAAAATTACCAATGATTTCTACAACCATTGGTAACAACTAACTAAAACTACATGCAAAAATTACCAATGATTTCTACAACCATTGATAACAACTAAAACTACAAGCAAAATTACCAATGATTTCTACAACCATTGGTAACAACTAACTAAAACTACATGCAAAAATTACCAATGATTTCTACAACCATTGATAACAACTAAAACTACAAGCAAAATTACCAATGATTTCTACAACCATTGGTAACAACTAACTAAAACTACATGCAAAAATTACCAATGATTTCTACAACCATTGATAACAACTAAAACTACAAGCAAAATTACCAACAATTTTTACAACTATTGATAACAACTAACTAAAACTACATGCAAAAATTACCAATGATTTCTACAACCATTGGTAACAACTAACTAAAACTACATGCAAAAATTACCAATGATTTCTACAACCATTGATAACAACTAAAACTACAAGCAAAATTACCAATGATTTCTACAACCATTGGTAACAACTAACTAAAACTACATGCAAAAATTACCAATGATTTCTACAACCATTGGTAACAACTAACTAAAACTACATGCAAAAATTACCAATGATTTCTACAACCATTGATAACAACTAAAACTACAAGCAAAATTACCAACAATTTTTACAACTATTGATAACAACTAACTAAAACTACATGCAAAAATTACCAATTATTTCTACAACCATTGGTAACAACTAACTAAAACTACATGCAAAAATTACCAATGATTTCTACAACCATTGATAACAACTAAAACTACAAGCAAAATTACCAATGATTTCTACAACCATTGGTAACAACTAACTAAAACTACATGCAAAAATTACCAATGATTTCTACAACCATTGATAACAACTAAAACTACAAGCAAAATTACCAATGATTTCTACAACCATTGGTAACAACTAACTAAAACTACATGCAAAAATTACCAATGATTTCTACAACCATTGATAACAACTAAAACTACAAGCAAAATTACCAATGATTTCTACAACCATTGGTAACAACTAACTAAAACTACATGCAAAAATTACCAATGATTTCTACAACCATTGATAACAACTAAAACTACAAGCAAAATTACCAATGATTTCTACAACCATTGGTAACAACTAACTAAAACTACATGCAAAAATTACCAATGATTTCTACAACCATTGATAACAACTAAAACTACAAGCAAAATTACCAATGATTTCTACAACCATTGGTAACAACTAACTAAAACTACATGCAAAAATTACCAATGATTTCTACAACCATTGATAACAACTAAAACTACAAGCAAAATTACCAACAATTTTTACAACTATTGATAACAACTAACTAAAACTACATGCAAAAATTACCAATGATTTCTACAACCATTGGTAACAACTAACTAAAACTACATGCAAAAATTACCAATGATTTCTACAACCATTGATAACAACTAAAACTACAAGCAAAATTACCAATGATTTCTACAACCATTGGTAACAACTAACTAAAACTACATGCAAAAATTACCAATGATTTCTACAACCATTGGTAACAACTAACTAAAACTACATGCAAAAATTACCAATGATTTCTACAACCATTGATAACAACTAAAACTACAAGCAAAATTACCAACAATTTTTACAACTATTGATAACAACTAACTAAAACTACATGCAAAAATTACCAATTATTTCTACAACCATTGGTAACAACTAACTAAAACTACATGCAAAAATTACCAATGATTTCTACAACCATTGATAACAACTAAAACTACAAGCAAAATTACCAATGATTTCTACAACCATTGGTAACAACTAACTAAAACTACATGCAAAAATTACCAATGATTTCTACAACCATTGATAACAACTAAAACTACAAGCAAAATTACCAATGATTTCTACAACCATTGGTAACAACTAACTAAAACTACATGCAAAAATTACCAATGATTTCTACAACCATTGATAACAACTAAAACTACAAGCAAAATTACCAATGATTTCTACAACCATTGGTAACAACTAACTAAAACTACATGCAAAAATTACCAATGATTTCTACAACCATTGATAACAACTAAAACTACAAGCAAAATTACCAATGATTTCTACAACCATTGGTAACAACTAACTAAAACTACATGCAAAAATTACCAATGATTTCTACAACCATTGGTAACAACTAACTAAAACTACATGCAAAAATTACCAATGATTTCTACAACCATTGATAACAACTAAAACTACAAGCAAAATTACCAATGATTTCTACAACCATTGGTAACAACTAACTAAAACTACATGCAAAAATTACCAATGATTTCTACAACCATTGATAACAACTAAAACTACAAGCAAAATTACCAACAATTTTTACAACTATTGATAACAACTAACTAAAACTACATGCAAAAATTACCAATGATTTCTACAACCATTGGTAACAACTAACTAAAACTACATGCAAAAATTACCAATGATTTCTACAACCATTGATAACAACTAAAACTACAAGCAAAATTACCAACAATTTTTACAACTATTGATAACAACTAACTAAAACTACATGCAAAAATTACCAATGATTTCTACAACCATTGGTAACAACTAACTAAAACTACATGCAAAAATTACCAATGATTTCTACAACCATTGATAACAACTAAAACTACAAGCAAAATTACCAATGATTTCTACAACCATTGGTAACGACTAACTAAAACTACATGCAAAAATTACCAATGATTTCTACAACCATTGGTAACGACTAAAACTACAAGCAAAGTTACCTTTGATTTCTACAACCATTGATAACAACTAACTAAAACTACATGCAAAAAATTACCAATGATTTCTACAACCATTGGTAACGACTAACTAAAACTACATGCAAAAATTACCAATGATTTCTACAACCATTGGTAACGACTAAAACTACAAGCAAAGTTACCTTTGATTTCTACAACCATTGGTAACGACTAACTAAAACTACATGCTAAAAATTACCAATGATTTCTACAACCATTGATAATAACTAAAACTACAAGCAAAGTTACCTTTGATTTCTACAACCATTGATAACAACTAACTAAAACTACATGCAAAAAAATACCAATGATATCTACAACCATTGGTAACGACTAACTAAAACTACATGTAAAAATTACCAATGATTTCTACAACCATTGATAACAACTAAAACTACAAGCAAAATTACCAATGATTTTTACAACCATTGATAACAACTAAAACTACAAGCAAAAGCACTACTAAAAATATATATAAAATAAAAATATAATCCCATGCTATAAATCACTAATTGAAAAATAATTTAACAATGATTTCATATTTAAACGTTCCTAAGTTCTAATCTCTAAATTAAAAAATATTCCTACTGGGGAGTTAAATGGTCGTTCTAATTAGTCGAATCCTGTATTTCCTTTTTGTCTTTGTTTTCCTCAATATATTTAATTTTTAATGTAGTAAAAAATTTTTCTGTAAACTACAACTTAAAGTACACTACTACTGAAGTGTAGTCCCTACATCATATATCAGAAAAATTATGTAAAATTTTTTTTCCAGTTTTGGTTGTTATTAACAACGCTGTGTCCATCATATCAAATCAAGTTCTCTATATTATTTTTGTTTTTTAGACCTGTTAATACATATGTATACGCAATTTCAGATTTTTATGTCAGAAAGTTTGTCCGCTAGATTGGGAACTGTATCATTTTTCGTAGAACATCATGGTTTTTCTTTTACAGCGCTATCACTCTCACTATCACTAATCTATATATTTTTCCTATAATCTATATATGAAAATACCTGTGTGTACGAATTTTAAGCACTCTTTTTTTAAAAAAAAATAAAGTATTTAAGGGGGGCAAGAGTTTACGGAACCTAATTTTTAAATTTTTATAAAATTAAACAATGAAACAGAAGACTTACCACTACGGATTTCCATGTCTCGTGGCAGAAATACGATGACAGCATATCCTCTTTCTCTTTTACTCTCTCCAAACAGATAAATTTTTCGTCTCCTGGTCCAAGTACCTGAAAATTAAAAAAAAAGAAAACATTAATACCAAAAAAAAAAATTCTCGCATCTGAATAAGTTAACTTTTTATGTATTTCAATTTCCCTAGTGTCTTTAAATATTTACTATGGCATATAAACTGACATTTGATTCTTATCAAAATCACTTGTTTGCTTTTAGCTTAAATTGATACTCAGCTAAAATACCCAACAAAAATGAATCCAAACTAGTTTTTCAGTGAGATTTATGTTTTATAAAAACTAAATAATATTTTGTTTAAAACACCTAATATGCACTGCATTAACTCACAGTTAAATAATTTTTAAATTTTTAGCTACAATTAATTTTTTATGAACATACTCTATAGTTTTTTTTTCGTGTAAAATTAAGGGAAGAAATATATTTTATCCTAAAATTGGCACTCGTGAATGTAGATATAGTTTTTTTTAAATCAAAACTGCAGAGTAAAAAGAAGCCATTAGGAATGTTAATTAGATTTTTGAGCCAACTCGGAAGAATATCTGCCAAATACTCTTTTAGAGGACATTTTAACTTCAAATTGCATGAGACAAAAATCTACTGATAATTATAAAACCTAAATTCAATTTTCATTCATCTCGAAACCCTAATTCATATGCAACAGTTTAGTTAGTGTTTCATTTTCCATTCTGGACCAAAAAAAGAAAACTTATTTCATTTAAACTCAATAAATTTAATGGATTTAAAATAATTTTTCTAATTCTAAAAAAATACTTCTATTCTTTTAACAAAAATAAATTACAAAGTTTTTTATTTCTATTTTTACTGACATTTTTATCGTTTTTACACGAAAAAATATTTGCAATACAAATACTGTCGCAGTAACAATGATTGATGTTGTTCATTTATTTCCGGAAAAATAGAAAGTTTATTCGTTTTATTTAAAACGGTAAAAAAAAAAAAGTTTTATAAACCCTTATGTAAAAAATATTATATTAAATTTCACGTTCATTAATTTAAATGAGCTTGAAAGAACTAATGTGTAACTAAAACATAATCTTTGAAACTCATTATGCTTCCTGTAATAAACTTATTGAACAAGAGTATAACTAAACTCACATAATTATATACGAAGTGCATAATAAATTAATTACAGAATAATTAATAAAATTAATATTTTCTCTTGACAAATATTGAAAATATAATTTTAATGTAACCTAATTTATAATTTGACAAGAATGTTGAATGTAAAAACAGTTTCGTTCATCTGACACTCACAGGCGTCTAGATTTCCAATTTTATGCAAAATTTGCCTTCCTTCAAACCCTACACTGCCAGACACCTCTCCACTTTTTAACCACTTCGAATAAGGCACTGTGAGAGATAAATTAGAGATGAAATTTGTCTTACATAATTCATCTATTCAAATATGATTTTAGCTTAAAATATTTCCATTTAAATTACATTTTTATACAATAATAAGATATATAAAAAATGAATAAACATTATAATAAAATTTAATTCTTGAAAAAAAGAGAGAATAAGATGGAAAAAATTTAAACAAAAATTCTACAAAAAAAACAAGTGATTATTTACTTTGGAAAGGAAAACAAAGGTGGTGAAATTTTTCATTGTAGAGAAAAAGTAGAAAAAACAATATTTACTCTATAGGTTTTACTATATGTATTTTTCGTTTCGTATGGTTTGTATTATATTTTTATGTGTGTAATGTTGAAAAGGTTAGTTGCCAAAAAAAAAAAAGAAAAAAGAAAGAAAATCTATTCTAAGCGAGAAAAAACTCTGCGATAGGAGAAGCTTGGCTTTTTCTAAGAAGGGTTGTAGAAACTAGTAAAAGAGGATGACTCCTAAGAGAATCACAAGATCAGATTCTGAATTCTAAAGGGTGTGAGGGTTTCGACAAAGTATATAGCTGTATATAAAATAAAAATGGTATTCCTTAAAAATTATTCCTCGCAACATACAATATTACATATCATAAAAAAAGAACATTACAAAAATGTAAATTTTGATTAAAATTTTTAAAAAAAATTGTATAATTATTTTAAATAAATTATAAAAAATTATAATAATAATAATAATTTTATAATTATAATAATTAAAATTTTATAATTATAATAATTAAAATTTTATAATTATAATAATTATAATATAAATTAGTTGGTAATTATTTTAAATCCAAATGAATTCTCTAAAATAATAGAAATTTACCGTTTAGAAATTATATGAACAAAAGTTGAATAGACGATGAATAAATATATCTATATATATACGTGGTCTATTATGTATCTCAATGTCACAGAAGTAAACAAATCCTGACTGAACGCTTTCTGCTTTCATCCATCTTGGATATTGAATTGTAAACAGGATCCTGTTCATAGTAAACTGCATCCTTATATGTACACTAGTCACGTAATACCCTACTAACGTATTAGTAATTCACATGAATGATACACACAAATCACGTACTAGTTACAATCTACCCTTTTCTGTATTCCATCTGATTTCATTTGGATCCATTCACATAAACAATATCGTGATATTAAAATACAGAATTTAAGAGAAATTTTAAGACCCTCGTAATATATAGGAAAAGAAAAACAGCAAGATCATAACTGCCTTATCGAAACTATAATTTTATGCTAAAATTGCATGTTGAAGTTATAATAATAATAATAACAACAACAAAAAAACAAGCTAAATATCTGCACTTTCCAAACACTCAAATTAACCTTTATTTATCGAATTAACAATTTCAACTCGCGTCTGACATACGATGCAAGAGAGAGAGAGTTTAGAACATTTAAAATTCATTACACAAATTTCTCGACTAACAGTCTGAAAAGCATTAGTGAAGTTTGAAGCGATTAAACAGTAATCTAAAATTAGGACATTAGAGCAAACTTTACGACGGACATATCCAAGATCATGTCCCCTTAAGCTCTGATACAAGATCATATATAGAAATATGCTGATACAAGTTGTACGGAAATAGTTAAAACTTTGTTCCACCGACAATTAATTAATAATTATTATAAATTTACGATATTAAAGAAGAAAATTTATATATTAAGTTTCAAAAAATATTTTTATAATATAAATAAATAGAAAAAAAATTTATTTACCTCAAATAATAATTATTTGATACAAATAAATATTTGACAATAGTCAAATAATCGATTATTTGAGTCAAGTAAATATTTATTTGATAATAGTCATGTAACCGATTATTTGAATCAAATAAATTTTTTTCCAGTGTATATAAATTTTTTTTACATAAAAATAAATTTCCTTTGTCTAACAATTAATTACACTGGAAAAAAAATATTGCATCCAAATAACAGGTTACTTAACTATCATCAAATAAATATTTACTTGTATCAAATAATTTTTGAGTCAATTAAACTCTATTTATTTCAAATCGAAATTATTCATTCAAATACAATTTATTTAATTCAAATAAAAATTATTTGATTCAAGTAAATATTTTTTTTTTGTCAATAACCGATTTTTTGAAGCAAATAAATTTTTTTTTGTTTTTTTTTTTTAAATTTTTTAATTCTTTAAAAAAATTTTGTCCAAAACTTAAAAAAAATTTCTTTGAAAAAAAAACAATAGTCAAATAATCGATTATTTGAGACAAATAAATTTTTTTGTCACTGTATTTATATTATAAAAACACTTTTTTAAACTTAATATATAAATTTTCTTTTTTAATGTCGTAACTTTATAATCAAATAAAAATTATTTGGTTCAAGTAAATATTTATTTGATAATAGTCAAATAACTGATTATTTGAATCAAATAAATTTTTTTCCAGTGTATATAAATTTTTTTTGCATAAAAAAAATTTCCTTTGTCTAACAATTACACTGGAAAAAAAATTATTGCATCCAAATAACCGGTTACTTAACTATCATCAAATAAATATTTACTTGAATCAAATAATTTTTGAGTCAATTAAACTCTATTTTAAATCGAAATTATTCATTCAAATATTTAATTCAAATAAAAATTATTTGGTTCAAGTAAATATTTTTTTTTTTTGCAATAACCGATTTTTTGAATCAAATAAATTTTTTTTTTATTTTTTAAAATTTTTTAATTCTTTAAAACAATTTTGTTCAAAACTTAAAAAAAAATTTCCTTGAAAAAAAACCACTTCACACTATAATAATTTTAACCAGAATGAAATTGGCTGTGTCATCGAAAAATCCATCCTGTCATGGTTGAATAGAATGGTCGCATTGGAACCGCCCGCACACATATTTTGCACGAGATACCCAAAAATATGCAGAGTGTGTTCTCTAGAATATATATTTTGTAGAGGCGACAAAAATCTATAAAAATCGAACGAGCTCTTCTTTCACGTCAAATAAATAAATATAAAAAAAAAAAAGAGGAGAAATTCGAAACTTTTATAAAGCGCAATTCAACGAAAATAGAAATTTACAAATTCCTTTTGTGACATAAACATTCATTTTTGAGAAATGCAAGAAAAAGTGTGATAGATTTTTTTTCAAATCACTTATTAAAAATTATTGTATTAATAATTTTGAAATTAAAAAAAATATATTATTAAAAATCAAAATTATATACGTGAAATAAAAATGATCGTAATAATATCGAATAAAAATTATTATATTATATATATATCTTCTAAATAACGAATAGAAATCAAGGATTTTAAGATTATCGACGAGATAAATTTCATCTCAAGCTTCCTATTTCCTGTGAAGCTAAAAGCGAATCTAGAGGAATACGAGATGAGAATTCCTTCTTCTACCTTCGACCAATCCACTCACATTCAAGACTACATTCACATTTTCCTTTGAAATACACATTCAACCATCTTTTTTTTCCATGTTTTTAAAATTTTTTTTTTATCTTTGTTAATTTCGTTGGATGGAAATAAAAGAAAATATTTTTTTCTAACAAAAGAAGAAAATGACATTTAATTTTACTTTATATATATATAAAATATTAAATTATTTATTTTGGGAGTTTTTTTATTATTATTATTAAATCTAGAGGTATTATTTATTTTTAAAGGAAATATTATTTCAGTGTCATAAATCTATTTTAAACTTTCAAATATGAAAGCGCGATTTGCATCCATATAAGGTATCACATACTGAAAATCCCCATGCGTTTCAGTTCATTTGGAATAATTGAATAATAAATGGCGAACAGAATGTTGAAAATTCGAATATTAAACCATTGTTTACAACTGTTTTGTTTTCCAAAAAAATATATATATAAACAATAATTACGATTTAATTGGACGAATGTATTTTTTAAATTTTGTTCATTTTGAACGTTTTACTAAACTTCATTATTGGAGAATAATTTAAAAAAAATTTAAATATGCTTTATTCTTCTGAATCTTTTTATTTAATTTATTGTTTTTCAATTTTTAAAAAATTAAATTTTAAATAAAAATTCATTATAAAATATTTATAAGAAAAATTATAATATTTCATTTGAATTAATTTTCTAAAAAAAAAAGTAATTTCACTACGGAAAATAATTTTTCAATTAAAGGTAAATTATTGAAAAATATTTTCTTATTGTAAATTGTAAAAATATAATCGTTATGTCCCGATTTCTACTTTTTCTATCAGAATTTGAAATTTTTGCTATATCAAAAGATTTTTTAGATCTAGAATTTTTAGCCCCAAGCTGTAGCCTACTTAAATGATAAACCCTCCGATCAGTCATGTGTCTAGTCAACTTAAAAATTTTCCTTGAAAGTAATTTCAATTTTTAAAGAATTTTATAAATAATTAAATTTTTAAATAAATATTTAAAATAAACAATTTATTTCTATATTTTCATCTACTGAAAAACTACTTTTTTTTCTATACAATCGAGAAAAAATATTTAATTAAAAAAATTTTTTTTTCTTTATAAACATAATTTACCACAAGAAACTAAAAGTGAAAAATAATTAAACTCCAATTATTTTATAATTTAATATTTTTAATAATATATATTTCGATTTTCGACAAAACAAAAAACTATTCTAATGATTTATAAAGAAAACATGTTGTAAAGATGTATCGTTTCGACTATACATACATTAGCAAACTTGAAATGACTATAACATTTTAGTATGTATTTTACGCGTCATAAAAGATTTAAATAGCCTCTCTGCGTGTGAAATGTATAATACCATTCAGTAATTTCAGGATTTTGAACTTAATTCATACTTAAATTGTACTCAAACGTTGAAGAATAATTTCCTTTGAATTACAACTTAAATTCCACTATCACGTTAAACTAACGTCCACGAAACTGATCATAAAGTCTAATTGTGTACCTTTTATATGACAAAATTTAGTTTTATGAGAGTAAGAAAAATTAATTAATTCTAATTTGAATGATTACGAAAATTTCCTTCGGTAAATAACTAAAATTTATTTTTAAATAAAGTTTACTAAAAAATTGTTTTTCAAATTCAAAATTAAAAAATAAATTTTTGTTTTTAATAAAAAGAATAAACCATTTAAAAATTTTTTTGTACAACATTTTTTTGAATGGAAAGCAATTTAATATTTCTAAAAAAATAATTGTGAATTAAATGAAAATTTCGGTTTACGAAAATTGGTCAAAAAATTCGTAAAAGAAAATTTTGTCAGACAAAAATTCAATAGAATAACAAAAGTTAAAAGAAAATTAAAGTCAAAAAAAAAAATTCTAGTCGCAAATGAAAATTCCAAATGGAAATTTGTTTAATGAAAATTCGATTAAATGATAATTTTATCAAACTCAAATTTGATCAAATGTCAATTTGGTTTTTGATGAAAATTTCCAAAAAAGAAAATTCGATTAAACGACAATTTTGTTAAACAAAACTTCGATCAAACGAAAATTTGGTTACATGAGTTGCTGTATATAAAATGGAAATTCTAGTAAATAGAATTTTTGGGGGGAATTTTCATATGAGCCCCCAATAAATCGAATCAATTAATAATTAAATTTGCTGTCAGTCAAAACTTCTTTTTTTTCGAATTCAAAATTCAAAATTCAAAAAAAAAAAAATTCAAAATTGTAAAATATTTCATTCTCTCTATTTTCTCAAAATTTAACTTATATCGAAGTTCTATTGTAATACAATTTAAATTGACTTTAATCCGACACGCGAAAATTGCAACAGAAAGTTTTGATTGTTCAAAATGCTGATAGCCATTAGAAGCGAGATTTATTGGGGTAATAACCAAAATCCTTTCGGTAGTCCGTATTACTCGACTATAAACGTGCGGAAATGTGGTTGGACAGGAAATTTCAATAACCGCAAATTAAATCACTCGACTTTACTATAGGAAAAAAAAAAAAAAAAAAAAAAAAATTCAACACATTTAAAAAAGAGCACGAACATCTAATATTTTTCATTATATAACGAAAAAGAAATTCGAGTTTTCAATTTTTTGTTATTAAACATATATATTCAGGATTATTGGAAAAAAATTAAATTTCTTTCACAGTAGAAATTTTCAATTTTTTTTTTCGAGGAAAAAAAATTATTTTCCAACTAAAAAGAAATTAATAATATTTAAAAAAAGACCATTTTTTTTAATAAATAAAAATTTTAGTTTATAAATTATAATTTTAAATGAACAGAAAAAGTTACTTTTTTTTAAAAAAAAAAGTTACTTTTTAAAAAAAAAGTTTGTTTTTTTCTTCAACAAGTTTAACACGTGTTATTTTCAAGTGAGCCTATGACTAAGCCGGGGACAAAAATTTAAAATTGTAATATACACAGTTGGTCATAAAAGTTTCATAATGTGGCGTATGTATAAAATATTATACATATCTCAAACTTGAACATATTCCATGAGAAGCTTTGTTAAAAAAAAAAACTACCAAATTCATCTTTTCTACCAAAATGAAAAATAATTTTTCCCAATTTTGTTTACTTTGAATTTAAAGAAAAAAACAATTATTTACCAAATTTATCTTTTCTTATTGAAAAATAATTTTTCTCAATTTTGTTTAAGAAATTAAAAAAAAATTATTGTCAATTATTAGATTAATTAATTAATTAATTTATTAACAAAGGAAAATTCACGAAGTTAATAAATTAGAAATTTATTAAATTAAAGAATTTTAAACATTGTTGAAGAAAAAAAAATAAAAGGGAGGAAAAATGTTCACAAAGAGAAAAAAAGTTAAATTTTCTTTTTTTAAAGAGAATAATCGTAGAAGAATTATTTTAAAAAAGTGAATAATCTAGTTGATAATAATATATAAGAGAGACGAGAAAATAAGTGGAAACGATAGGGAAAAAAAAAAAAAATTTTTAATGGAAAAAAAAAAGGTCTTAACTTTCAGATAACTTTCTTCACCGATCCTGAAGCAGTTCAGAAGGCGCGTCATTTGCATAACATTACTAGTTTCACTTCCTTTGCTAAAGAGATTTTGTTTACTTAGTGAGCGTGTCATTGCATCAATTTTCAAACATAGAAAATATGTCTTAAATATTTTTTATACATATATATAGACACACGTTTGAAAACTAATTTACTATATCTAAACGAATTATCTATTCAATCTGAATTTAATGCAGAACCTATTCAATTTTAAATTTAGAAAAAATACAAAAAATTACAAACATAATTGGAAAATTTTTTTTTGTAAAAATAAAAAAATTTAAATAAAAAAAAAATACCTTATTCAATCCTCCGAATAAAATAAAAATAGCTGCGTTCATATATGAAATGAGTCCAAATTGTCGTCGCAAGAAACATCGGAGTTGTTTTTATCATGACAGTCATTTGTTCGAATTGTAAACAAACTTAGAATCGTTATTTTCTTTTCTGTAAAAAAAAAAACGAAACGAAAAAAGTTAAATATACATATATATTTAATTATTTTAGTCTTGTGTGATTTTTTTACGATTTTAAAACAAACGTAACCTCAAATTTACACAAAAACTTTTTCACCATTATATATGTATATACCACATATATGGATTATAAAGATAATTTCCATAAAATGCAGTCACGCGAACACTTGCATGGTTAAACTTTACATTTTAGATCAAGATAATATACTATTTTCGGATATTAACAAATATAAATCAAAATATGTATATACAAATTCTCTTTGCGATGTAAATAATAAACACCGACCGGCAACGAATGGCAGCCATTTTTAATCGTATTTTACTACTCTAGTCATTTTTTATCCAAATATTTTTTAATCCGTTATTCATGTTGTAAAAATTATCTTCTTTTTTATTAATAAAAAAAAAAAAATATTTTAAAAAAACTCAAATTATTCATCATTGGTGAATGATATTTGAATAAAAAATAAATAAAAATATTATTTCTATTTGAAAAATATCGATAATAATTCATTTTTACATTTCAATATAACCATAAATTTTATCAAAAATTTGTACAAATTTATACGATAATTTCCTAAAATTTACTTATACCTTTGTTTTTCCGAACAGATTGAATATTATATATATATATATATATATATATATATATATATATCACGATTTTACTATTATCAAAATTATTAATCAGAAAACTTTTTAAAACAATATTTCAATGATAAAAAAAATAACGACAAAATCAATGGAAAATGTGGAGAAAAAATTCTTACCAAACAACATAACCACCAATCTGATAGAAAATTTTTTCCAAAAGAAATAAACGATTTTTCCGGTAAAATTCAGTGATGCTTTCATTTATGCTGATAAACTGATTATTATATTTTACGATTATTGTATTACTAATTATAAAAAACACCTTCTAACTTTCATAAAACACTGATTTTAACTGGCAATAAAAAGGACGCGACCAAAAATGAAATTGAGCTAAATTCTTATGAGAAATAATCACGTGTGCCAACTTAAAACAAAATAAAAAAAAAAACGCCTACTTTCATCAGAAATACCAACATAAATAAAACAAAGTAAAAAAAGCAATTAATTAACTAAAACATCAAATAATAAATTAACAAAATCATCAAATTGATTAAATAAATCCACATTTTAACTTTAAAAAATAAATTAATACCAGCTTGCACACTTCGTTACATTTTCTTACCTTGCAACATAACCGCCAATCTGATAGAAAAATTTTTCCCGAAAGAAATAAATGACTTTTCCGGTAAAATTTAGTGATGCCTTCATTTATGCTGATAAACTGATTATTATATTTCACGATTATTGTATTACTAATTATAAAAAACACCTTCTAACTTTCATAAAACACTGATTTTAACTGACAATAAAAAGGACGCGACCAAAAATGAAATTGCGCCAAATTCTTATGAGAAATAATCACGTGTGCCAACTTAAAACAAGGCAAAAAAAAAAAAAATAACGCCTACTTTCATCAGAAATACCAACATAAATGAAAAGAAAGTAAAACAATTAACAAAATCAGCAAATAATTGATAAAATACATATTTTAATGTATTTAACATTTTCTTACCTTGTAATATGCCCTAAAATTTAGAAAAAAAAATTTCCAAAAGAAATAAATTAATCACTTCCAAATTTGGAAGATTGTTCGATTGCGCATGTGCAGATGTGGATTTTTTTTCTACTGATTTTCAATACCAATATATATATATATATATATTTTTTTTTTTGACGAAAATACAATTATAAAAATAATCACGATCTATTATTAAATTGTCATTTGTAAACGAAGTGGTAAACTATATATCAAAATATTAAAAAAAAATAATAATTTACCATCAAGATGTGACCTTCGGATGGCGTCATTTGGAAAATACTGATTTTCGTCACTATCTTCAAAAAAATACTTTATCTTTTTATTGCGGATGATTAAAAAGACCGAGCTAAATTGTATAAATCAAATAACTAACCGGATGTATGTAAAAAGACACGATTATATCAAAAAATTTGACGAGAATCACTAACGACAAACACTTTCGTACAAGGATGGCAGCCATTTTAATTATTCATCAGGGCTGCCACCCAGAGAAAGGAAAAACTCGTATTTGGCGTTTGCGCATGCGCAAACCAATTCTTTGCTATGTGAAAAATTTTAACATTAAAAATTAATTTTTTTTTCATAAAATTACACAAATTCAGGAAAAATTTATAACTAATTATTTAATTACGACTCAATTTAAACAAAAATATTATTTAGATACTTCAAAATATGTATAAATGCAATTTACCTGCAAATCAGGAGCTCTGGGTCGCATCATATGAAAAATACTTATTTTTGCCACATCTTGCAAAATATACTGAAACTTTTTATTTCTGTGGACTTAAAAATCTTATCTGAACTTGATAAACCAAATATTTAAATAGAAATACTTTGTATATTATCACGATTAAGTGAAAACTTTAGCGACACTTCGAGGATACTGATGAAAGGCTGCCATCTTACTTCTGAATGACGACGCTTCGCTTTGTCAGGAATACCAACATGAATAAAAAAAAATTTGAAATAGTTAAATAATGTTAAATAGAAAAGAATTGTTTTTATTTTAATAAAATGATTTAAATTTAGTTAAAATAATAAGAGTTTATGTAACATAAAAACAAAACCGAAGTTAATTAAAAAAATAATCAAAGTTAAATCAACCTTATAAAGTGGCGCTAAATTTGAATTTTTAAATCTTTTTATTTTTAATTAAGTTTGATAATTAGATTTGTATTTCTTTAATTATATTAATTAATTAATCTGCCTTATTAATTAGAGTGGAATTATTTAAAATCAAAATTTTTATTTTACAAATTTAATTAATTTTTTAAATTAATTAAAAACAATTAAATTAATTAAAAGTAATTATTAATAAATTTATTATTTTCAATGAATATTTAACAACTTTCTATTTATTTTGATATTTACTTAATAATTTTTTATTAAGTTTAATAATTAGATTTGTATTTCTTTAATTATATTAATTAATTAATCTGCCTAATTAATTAGAGTGAAATTATTTAAAATAAGTATTTTTATTTTACGAATTTAATTAATTTTTTAAATTAATTAAAAGTAATTAAATATATTTCAATAATATTAAATATATTATTTTCAATGAATATTTAACAACTATTTTAATATTGAATTAATATTTAAAGTAAATTAAAGTTGATTTTCAAATTAAAATTGTTAATCAAATTTTAAATAAATAAATGTTAATTTCCAAGTATGTATCTTTGTGTGAAAAATTGTCAATAAAAAAGCACTGCTGAACATTTGTCATAAAACACTTGAAAAAAAAAGAGCAAACGTTTCTATAAAGCCCAACGTGGTAAACAGAATACACCAGAGCTTCTCTTCACAAAAAGCATCTCAACAATAGATGAGAGAACATGAAGAGTATTTGAAAGACGTTTGAATAAAAGACTGACTCTAGTTCATTTTGAAGAATACATTTTTCTTCATTTTACCGATCGTAACTTTTTCTTATATTTTTTCACTTCACTGAAAAAAGAAAAATTTAACTAGAGAAGAAAAATTACTTGACTTTCTGTAAAAAAAAAATGTCTCCTAAACTCAAAAAATGAATAAAAATTCAATTTTACAAACAAATTAATATTTTTAAAATTTATTTAATTTTAAAAATTATTTTCTTATAAAATATATTATTTTAAAAAAGTCTATTATTTAATCAAATATTTATCGATTAAAAATAATGAATGATTTTCAATTTTTCGAAAAATAAAAATCATATTTAAATAAATTATTAATAATAAATGAATTTTCATCAAATGAATATGAAAATAAATTTTTTTTTCCCACTAATATTGAAGTTGGATTCAAGTTTTCTTAAATTGATTGCCACAATCTTTCAAGTGGATCGAAAGTGCCATTGACTTGAAATTCGTGCCAAAGTTTCCATTTGAAATTCCAGTAGCAGAATCCCACTCAGTGATCCCTTGTTCTAATTTGTAAGCCATTTGTTTGCTTCTCTCACACCTTCGTTGTTCCAAGTGATTCAAGATGCCTCATAGGACAAGAACGACCCTCTCGATAGTTGACTTCACACAATTCGCTATATCTTTCTAGTCGACAAAATTCCCTCGTAATTTTTTCATCAAAGAAAAAAATAAAAAATTCTCATTAATTCTTGAATACAAATTGTTTTTTTTATTAAAAATCCATTAATAATAATTGACAATAATCGTGTGTTTTTTTGAAAAACTGAAGGAAAAAAAAAACAAATGTATATTTAATTAAAAACAAGAAAAAATTGAAAAAAAAAACATTTCAACTGTTACACTTTCTTCCATAGGAAAAAAAACAATTTCTATTTTGTCAAACAATTAAATGTGTGTCATAGTCCTAGTCACATAAAGGGATCAAATTTAATCGCTTAAATTATTTAGCAAAACGATGTGTTTTTTTTGTGTGTGTATTTTGAAAAAAATACGCCTAGTTAATTGTAATTTAATTTACACATTAAATTTAACAAAAAAAAAAAAAAAAATCATCGTTCTGAATCATTAAGAAGCCATAGAATCATACATCATTCTATCTGGGATTCTGTATTTTTCTTCTTCTTCATCGTTTTCATATTTCACAGCAGTGAAATACGCAGGATTCGGATAATTATTTGTATACTCGGGATAATCTGAAAAAATTAATTAAAAATTATTTCTCCTCTCATTAATAATTTGTTATTTATCAACTAATAATTAATTTATTTATTCAGATAAATCTAAAATATCATTTATGTTTTAGATTTTATAATAATAGAAGTTGGGGAAAATAATTTCAACTCACCATCCAGTGGCTCCTCTTTAATTTGAACCTTAGTATCCTCCTCGGGACGATCACCACGATCCTTACGATCCCTGTGTTCACGATCACCACGTTCACCACGTTCACGATCTCGCTTATCCCTCTTCCTTTCCCTGTCCCTTTCTCTCTCGTTGCTTCTTGAACGTCTTCTTTTCCGATCACGTTCACGATCTCTTTCACGATCACGACGATCTCGCGGTGGACGCTCAATTTCCTCAATATCAGGATCAAATGCTCTTTCTCTGCTGCGCCTTCTCTTACGATCGCGAGATCTGCTTCGACTTCGTCTCTTTCTCTCCCGTGATCTTCGTCTTTCCCTATCAGCTCGATCGCGATCCCTAAATTAAAACAATTTCACATTAATTTATTTGCTTTAGGAACAAAAAAAAAAAACTCTGAAAATCAATTAAAATTCAATTTCAATGATAAATTTTTGAAATTGACAAAATTAAATATATTTTTAATTAAAAAACAAAGATTAAATTAAATTGAGGCGTTTGAATTCACACCTTTTTCATGTTAGATGAAAATTTGAGTGTGGGGGAAAAAAAAGTAGATGATGATAATAAATACCTGTCTCTATCGAAGCGACCGGTGGCTTCCCGTTCTCTCTCAAGTCGATATCGTTCTCTTTCCCTTTCGTTATCCTCTCTGCCTGAGTGCTTAATATTTACCTCCGGACCTCCTCTTCTTGTACCTCCCAGTCCACCTCCTAATCTTCTGGGAAGCCACCCTTTTACCGTCCTTGCACGTTCAACATCCACTAATACTCGTCGTCCATCTATTTTTTTGCCATCAGCATGCTTGTATGCAGCTAAAATTTCCAATATTCTGGTTGTAACTTTATCTAAATTATTTTCCCATAAATACCTACAAGTCGTGTCGATAATATCACTTATAAAAACTTGATCTTTATTTTCATTTTCGAAAAAGTAACTCCTTTCTTCCTTTTTTTTCAAATTTAGTTAATAAATTTTCATATACTATACTTACTTTTATAATTAGAGAAAATTTAATTCATAATATTAACTAAATTGTAAAATATTTTCTTAAAACAAATATCTTTCAAAAAATTGAATTAACAAATTAAAAACAATTATTTCTATAAAAAAAAAAATTTACACAAAAAAAAAGTACTCAATATTTTAAATATGAGCTTCAACTAATTGGCAAATAATATTAAACGATCTAAATAAAGAAAAATACAATAATAATCTAAATCTATAGATAAATAAATTCCCATATTATGAATTTTATTCATAATTTATAATAAAAAGGAAATTTTCAATACCTGAAATAATTTTCAATTCCAAGGAGGAGTTGGACGTGAAATGGGTAAAAAAAATACTTTTTTTTCCATTTTGGACTAAATGATAATAATCGATTTAAACGCAGGGATATTTTGTAAAAAAAATTTTTTCGACACGACTAGAACGAGTATTTTTTTTTCTAATGTATATTGTATATACTTGTTGCGTGCACGTTAAAGAACAAATCGATACTGTAATGAAGGAAAAAATTATTATATTCTTCAGAATTCAAAAAAAAAAAATTAATAAATTTACTAATTAAGAGATTTTTTTTTTCAACGGAATTAATCCAAATTGTATATACTTGGCCTGGTATCGGTTTGTGTCATATGCAAACAACTAGAGATAATTAATTTCAATGAGGAAATTTTTAGTTTGAAAAAAATAATTATTATACTTCTGATGGCAAAAAAAACCTACCGAACATTATATTACCGAGTTTCATATTATTTTCTCTCTCCACCAAGTTTCCTGAAGATCTTTATTTTGACGATTCTTTAAGTCACCTTACCCAATGACTATTATTTTTTTTTTTTCGCAATTTATTTAGGTTGTTAAGAGATCTGCTAATTCAATCATTCAATCATTTTATGATACAAAATTATCAATTCAAATATTATTATAAATAAATAATTAAAACAAAAATATTTCAAAATATTATAAAAATTGACAATTTATCGCAATAGTATTTAAATAATAATTGTTTCCATATTTTAAAAGAACAAATATTTCTTTTCTTACAATTAAAAAATTTTAGTGAAAAGAAACTAATTTAAAAAACATATATAAATAAATGAGCAAATAAAAATAAAAAAATGAATTTGTTGGTTCTTTTTAGGTATCAATTTTCAATTTTATTTGCACAACACTGTGAATCATAATATAAATTTCTATCAATGGAAGTTGAATCGAAATGTCGTTAAAATTTTTAAATTGATAAAGTTTATATTAAACGATTCTCAGATGTGGTACAAAAATTAATCGAATTCTCGATCAAGTTCTCGAATTGAACAGACTCTTAATACATTAAACCTAGAATTTTTTTTTTTTTTTTTTTTTAATTTATTTGGAAAAAGAGATTATTATCATATACAAAAAATACCTACCGCGGCTACTTACGTACGGAAGTTTAACACAAAGTTTAGAAGTACTTTTAATCGTGAAATGAACTTGTGACTCGCGAGCCCAGTCTTCCTTTAAGTTCGTTCAATTTCCAGAGAAGTTTATTTTGCATTTACCTGGTGCGCTTACCATTTTTTTTTTTTTTTTATTTTTAATATTATTAATTTGTTTACTTACTATCAGACCGTGCGCATTTACTTTCTTTTTTTTTATTACATGATTCTAATGTTATTCTTCTAATTTTTTTTTTCAAAAATAAATGTATGAGTAAATAATTTACTATTCGGACAAGACAATTTGAGAGAAAAAGGTTTTTCTTTCACAAACTCGTCGAAATATAAATCTTTAAATATACATTACTTTTTTCTGAGCACACAATAAAAAATAATAACAAAAAGAAAAGAAAAGAAAATAAACAAGATAAAAAGTTATGGACAAATTATTTAAATTAAGTTTTTAAAATTAGTCTTCTAAATCGAAATTGAGTCTTAAAGACTATTAAGGAGCCAGGTTTTTAGCTAAATAAACAAATTTAATTTTAGAACGCGACTTCTCTTTGCTAACTTTTTTTTTGTTACCACGAATAAAATGAAAATCGACAAAAAAAAAAAATGTAAAACCTCTTAGTCGAAATATATAAAATATAATCTTTCGGATTGATTATACAATTATAAATATATAATTGTAGTTAATAAATTATTAATATTATTATTATTTATTATTAATTAATAATTATGATTTATGAAACTTTCTCTTTGGTATGAATAATAAAAAAAATACCTGAAATACAATTACAAATAATATAAATAATTATTAACAATTAACAAAAATTATAATTATTATAAATTATTATTTGTAATTGTATTACAAAATTGACTAACGAGTTCCCTTTTTTTTAATTTCATTCTAAATTCGCATCTAAAAAATTTTCGTACTTAAAAGGAATATTTTAACATTTTAAATTAGAGTTGCCGAATTTTTTTAAAACAAAATGTAGTATTTGTAGCCTAATATAAGGTTCCTTAAGGTTTTCAAATTACCTTAAAAAATGTTTCTTAAACTCAAAGATTTCAGGAAATTTCTTAAGTCATATTGGCGACATTTGAGTTTTTTTTTTTCAATTCCCAAATAGAATAATGCCCTACCAATTTTTAATTTTGTTCAATTAATTAACTATTAAAAATAATTTAATCAAAGCTTTATTCAATTTTCTAATCAAAGAAAAATTAATTATACTGAAAATCACCTAAAATTGAGAATAATTAATGAATCTTGTGCTAAAGAAAATTAAGACTGGGTCCCCACGCGGACAAATTTTCCCGACGCGGTGTATTAAAAAAAAATAAAATAAAGAAATTAAGTCCCTGAACCTTTTTCCTAAAGCCCAAGAATCAATTTCAATATAGAATGCTAATTTCATTAACGATGAGAACGTTAAGAAAACGGAATTTTTAATAGCAAAAGAATTGTCAGATTCGAGAGCATTTTTTTTTTTTTTTTTAACGAGTGTGGCCAAAGATTTTTTTTTTATAAATCCCTATTCGGCTCATTTAGTCCACAAACGTTTTAAAAAATTTAATTTAATTATTTTTTTTCTTATCAAAATAGAAGCAGGATAAGCATAGACTCTAAGAAACTTTCTTGTATGTTGCATACACATACAAACCTATCATATCAGGCAGGTTCAGGGATTTTGCATGGAATAGCGAACGGCACTAGTTGCCGGCAGCGGCCACCACGCTGTACCAAGAACAAGATAAAAACTGTATTAATGAAAATAGCCAATATTTTCTTTTCATTGAATCGTTTTATCAACAAAGGTAATTTTTTTTTCTTTTTTCTTAAGTATTGAAATCCTGTATTGGATATGTCGGGATTTATCCCACCCTAAACACTAACCTAATCACCGATTTCGTTTTCGAAATATATACGAAAAAATTGGGTAAGTTTCTTTTTATCTCGTGCTCCCAAAACCCTTTTTTTTTTTTGCTAATCTAATAAAGTGACACTAACGCGAATGAACTTTTGAAATTATCTTTTTGATCATCGATGAATAAAATGGAGATTATATTTTTCAATTGCATACTTACAATGCATATCCCTTTCGTGCTCATACTCAATGAAAGCGTATCCCCTCGGCTTTCCATTTATTGTATTATGATTAACCACAATCTAAAATAATAAAACTTTTTAATGGAATATTTATTTATTAAAGAAAAAATTAATAACTATTTTGTTTTTAAATTATTCTTTAATAGAAAAATGTTAAAATATTTTAATTTTTATTTTAATATTATTAAATTTGTAAATATTCTCTAGAAATATTTTTCAATTTTGATTGAATTAATTAAGTGTTTTGTAAAACGTAAAAATACCTTTTTCACTGGACCGTAAACTTCAAATTCTCTTCTTAGTTTCGACTCCGAAGTATCGTAGTTCTAAAATCGAAAACAATTATTAGAATAGTAAACAAAAAATTAATTTTAAGAATATAAAAAGAATATTTGCATTTTTGGAAATGTAACAAACAAAATGTATATTTTTTAAAATAAAAATACGTGAATTTGTGATTTTTCTATTTTGAAAACAATAAATAATAACTTACGATACGGGCAACGAAAAGTGTTTTGAAAGGATCAGCTGTGACATTTGGAATTCCTGCAGGATCCCAAACTGCAATTTCCTGCTCTAATTTGTAGGCCGTCTGTTCAGCTCGTTCTCGTCTTCTTCTTTCAAGTCGTTCCTCACGTGTCTCTACTCGAACAGGAGGCGGTGTATCTTTGGGATCCTAACAAAAAAAAATACTAATTAATTTCATTGAATCAACAATTTTTAAATTTAATTTTGTACATACTAAAAGATTCTTATTTATAGAATTTATTTTTCCCAAAAAAACTTAAATATCATTTCCACAAAAAAGAGGAAATAATGAAAAAAAATTTCATTTAAATTATTTATTTCGATTTTGTTAATAAAATTAATGATTAATTTAATAAAATAAAATAATTTAAGAAAAATTAGAAATTCTTGTATATTTCATAGAAAATATACACAATTTTAGATATTAAAATCTTAAATTTTATTTTTATTACAACTTTTATTCTAAAAGAAAATTTTCTTAAAATAGAGTTAATTCAAAACTTGTGAAACAAATTACAAAAAATGTGATAACGTTTTTATCAGAATACACAACTCTAATAATAAATTTTTATGTACTTGTAAGTTTATAATAAGTACTGCAAGTTTTTAAAATTGATAAAAAAAAAAAAATAATCTTTATCTCACAATTTCTTTTTTCTATTTTTAAGTTTCTAATTTAAAAAACTAATAAAGTATCCATATTGTTCTAAAATACAGTATTTTATTTCTAAAGCAATAAAAAAATTGCAATTTCTAATTTGTTTTTTAATTCGAAGTTAACGTAATTAAATCATGACAAAAATAAACATCAAGGTGAAAAGAATGCACTCGTCGTTAAGCAATAAAACTCGACTATATTATATTCTCAAAAAGAGTAAGCTTTGTCAATACAATACTCAGGAATCAATAATAAGATATTTATAAATAATACCGTTAAAAGAAGCAAAGCTGCAAAAAAAAAGGTGTTATACCTAAATAACAGTAAACTCAATAATATTGTTATTACGAAAGAAATTTAAATTAGTTGATATTAAGAAAAAAATTAAACAAAGTGATTGTAAATAATTGATGAATGTAATAATGTAAAGATAATGCGTAGTCAATGGAAACCAGTATTTGAACATAATAATCGATGGAATATATATTTCAGTATATTATATCATATATACTAACCTCAAAGTATTTAAGAAAAGATCCAACACCCAAATAGCCACAATTTTTTTTCTCATGGGGAAGTTTTGATGCCGGTGGCAAATAAGGAATTGGGTCACGCGGGGCAAATAAGGCGAATAAATTTGGAGGCAAATATTGTGTCATTTTGACGTAATTAAAACTTTCACATTAAATAAATAAACACTTTACACTCATATTGATGAAAATTCAAGGAAATATTTTTAATTTAAAGAACCTCCACGCTTCACGATAGTGTTGCTGAAAATGGCAGAGCAAAATGGCGTCGGGCGTCCTGCCTGGTGACGACTTAATAAACTACGCACGCGCAAACATAAAGGTCCTAAAGTTGTATTCTGATTGGTCAAAACATAGTTCATTTTTTTTAATAAATATTTTCTATTAATATTTAAATTTATTAATTAATATTATTAGAATTATTTACTAATTATATGTTATTGTATTCAGTAATATATTTGTAATAATTAAGAATTATTTTTAGACAAGGCGAACTTTTTAAATTCCCGCGCTATGATTTAGTACTTTCTAGGGGTTTTTATTTTTTAGATTTGTAATTCTTGTAAATATTCGATTGGTCGATTTTCATTACTATTTGAATTTTACGTAAAATTGGACAAATATTTGAAAATTAGTTTAGTGCTCTGTGATTGGTTGAAGTTATTACTATTCAATGTACATGAAGTTGGTGTCATTATTTTGATAATTGTTATTATGCCATATTACATTATTGTTTTTACTTCTTTTAATTATGAATGTCATGGATATATTGGAATCATTAAAATATTTTGTTGCTTCAGAAAGTTTAAAGGTAATTTAATTATTCAATATTTGTATCTATAATAATATTCGATGTAAACGATTCTAACCTTACTTTTTTTTAACCTGTCATTTAAATTATTACTGTCAATATAATAATTATTGAACAATTAAATATATTTCGTTCTTTCAAAATATAATTATAAAATTAACGAAAAATTAAATTCTCATCTTATCTAATTAAAAATCAATTCTTCATTAAGAATATAGTAAAATTAGGTTATTGCTCTTACAAAGACTTGTAAATGAAATTTTATATTTAAATAATTAAATAAGTTTTTTCTTATTTAAAATACAAGAATTAATACATGTACATAAAAAATTTAATGTTAAATTTTTTAAAGATTTTTATTTTTCACGAGAAAAAATGTGTCTAGATAAGAAAGGTTTTTATTATTAAATTATTTTATATCAATTTTTATCGTTTCATTAAAAATATTGAATTATAAAAATTGATAACATTTGAAATATTGTAAATTGCGAACAAATATGGATCAAAAGTTCAAAGTTTATTATAAATTAAAGTTTTGTATTGTTAATTAAAGGACATCTGAAATTGCACTCAAGACTAACTCCATTGTCTCTCATTGACTATTGATATAATTAAAAATTAAATAATTTCAGATGACTTAGCGTTATATCAAATTCCGTGGAGGACTATTTTTAATTTGAATCAATGGTTTGCCGAGTTTCTAATCGAATTTTATATAAGGAAAATAGAATGTGAGTATAACAAAATCTATTTTTAAACACATTTTTTCTAATTTTTGTGATTTTTTAATAAAAATTCAGTTTAAGGAAAAATTAGTTATTAATTTCGGTAAAATAGAAATTTGTCTTTTTATTTTATTAAAAATTCATTTGGTGAAAAAAATTTTTAATTTTATTTACATTTGATTAAAAATTTTACCAAATTTCTTCAATGAATAATTTTTCTTTGATTGTTTTATTATTGCAATTTTTTTTTTTTTTTTAATGTAAAATTTCTACTAGCAAGTTTTTCTCTTGAAAATTTAGCAGAATTCTTTTTCAATGGGTTTTATCTATTCAATTTTCGCCAAGTTAGCGTTGCGTCTGCCAAGAACCGCCTTTATAGGTGAAAACGTTTTGTCTTTTCTCACTTTTCATGGTCGGAAAGCGCGAGGAAAAAGAAATCGTTTTATCCAGGATGAACACATCAAGTTTTTTTTTCTCTTTCTATTTTTTAGCGTCAGTTTGCGTTAATAGTTAGAAATGATTATTTTCATTTGATTTTTTTTTCTGTATGAATTTTTCTTAATTTGACTTTACGAAAATATTTTTTAGATAAAGAATAAATTATTAAAAATATTAATTTCGAAGTTCAATAATGATATACATATATATGAGTATATATAACTTGAGGGAAGATATATATATATATAGAAGAGATAGATCACTCGGTTAAGGGAAGAGATCCTAATGATTTTGCACGTAAAGGAAGACTAGGTTTAGCAAACTATCTTAGTAATAGTTTAGGAGACAGTTTCGAAATCCACGAGATTTCGGAGTTAGACCAAAAAGAGGTTTGCGTCCCATTCCACTTCTTTGGAATGAGGCAAACCGCTGTTCCTTGCAGATCGAGTTTGCCTTAAGCTTCAATGAGATCAGCTGTCGACCTACGCTTCCTCCTTGAGTATTGTTCTTATTACACATCTTCAGATATTTCTCATCTTGACTTACAGAAAAGAGATAATTTTTTTATTTACTTCCTTTTTTGAATTTTTTTTTTCATTATCAATAATTTTTTATTTTTTTGTAATTCTTTATTAAAAAAAAAAATAAAAATAAAAAAACAACCGCAAGCAATAAAAACAGAATGAAATTGATTGTGGACGATCGTGAATATAATACTGAAAGTTTAGATGGCAGAAAGTACGTTAAAAAAATAAAATAAAAAAAAAAAAAAAAAATTTTTTTTTCACTTGATAGAGTTGTTAGAATATTGATGAGTTCGTCTGGAATGTAAATCCTTTTAGCTCGCACCTTTAAAGGTTTCACTGTAGAAACTATAACTTTGGTGACTCATACATAGGATAGAGTACACGATCGGAAACTAGCGCGATCAACCCCTTTTCCTGCATATTTCAAGGGACGTTTGAACTCAAAATTACATTCCGAGGTTCTAAACCCGTTAGTACACCGTTTTAAGATAAATGGGAAAAGTTCACTAGATTGCTTCTTTTGTTAATGTTATATACAATGTCGAAAAGAAAGATTTATTTTATTTGAAAAAAAAAAAAATCTGGAAATTTAAAAACTTTAATATTTTATTCTTTGTTCGTCGTGAATATTTATTATTAATTTATTTAAACTCATTTCTAATAATCAAAAATAAAAATTGTAAAATTTTCATAAAATATATTTATAAATTTTTTTAATTATAATTTTAATTATATTTTTTGCATTAAAAATTTATTTATAAAATTTTTATTTATTTGCAAATTTAAAAATATTTTTTATGGACTATTTGTGAATTTATAGTTGTTTTATAATTCAAATGAATTTAATGACCATTATATTAAAATTTTTAATGAAACATTGAAATTTTATTATTTAATAATAAAAGAGATAATTATATAAAACAAAAAATCGAGATAAAAATATTAATAAAAAAATTAAAATACAAAAATATTTTTATTTTAATTATTTATTAAATAGGTTTTTAATTTGAATTTATTTTATTTTTTTTTTGTTTTTGAGGGTGGGGGGTTAAAAAATGACTTTGGGTAAAGGGGGTGAATAATAATACCCCAGTAGGAAAACCGGAAATTTCCGCGGACTTTTAGAGAGAGAGAGAGAGTAGAGGGAAAAGCAACGATGGGAAACTGTAACTACTTCTGAACGCTCTCGTTAAACTTGTCTGTGAAACGGTTCTCTTGAAATATAACGAGGCTTGTTTTCGCCTATACATCTGTATATGCAATTTCAAACAATGCTGTACATCGCCAGTAACATAAAATGTACGCAAAGTTCATTATTCATTAAAAAAAAAAAAAAAAAAAAAAAAAAAAAATCTCGTTAGCTTTATACGTACTTTACAACAACAACAATAACAGAAAAAAAAATGAATAACATTTTTAAAGTGTCAAACTCCATTAATCGAGAGTATTATTATAACAAAAGCAGAACAATGCATTTCAATATTGAGTTTTGTGTCAAAATTTGTAACATCTGATTTTATTGCAAAATGCGAAAAGTCTCATTTATTGTATTGAGTTTAGTAAAATTAATTAATGATACAAATTTTTTTTAACAAATGAAATTTTTTTTTTTATTGATAATTGATTTTATTATTTTTAATTTGCAGAATTGTAAAAGTGTTTTTTTAAAATTATTATTATTAATAGTTTTTTAATTTTATTAATTTGCCGAATTTTAAAACAGATTTTTCAATCGTAGGGGATGAAATTTCCTTTTTAATTCCTAGGGAGTAAAATTATTTCTTTTAACCCCGCGAACAGTAAAATTTGCTTAACTAACCCTTGGGAAAGAAATTGATATTTTTATCCATTGTTAAGTAAATAAAAAATAATATTAAGAAATAAAATAAAATTAACAATAATAAAAATAATAAAATAAATAATAATAAAAGTAATAAATAAAATAATAATAAAATTAACAATAAAAAAAATAATAAAATAAATAATAATAAAAGTAATAAATAAAATAATAATAAAATTAACAATAAAAAAAAAAATAAAATAAATAATAATAAAAATAATAAAATATTATTTCTAAAAATTAGGAAAAAAGTAATTTACAGTTTCCCAAAAATATTATATGTAATGTGTAAAAAATATTATTTTCGTTTTTTTTTACAAATATTAAATTTTTTAAATTGTTACAAAAAAGTGGCAATGTTGACAAACGTTTCTTTCATCTATTTTCTTCCCCTCTCTCGCTTTGACAAAAGTTTGTCATCCTTCCAATATATATATATATACTATATATATAACGGGGGCAGTTTTCTTGTGACTTTAAAGAGCACTTTGGAGACATAACGTAGACTTTAAATGAAAGGAACCGTTCCCATGATAGCGCTCTAACTTCCGAAATGGCTCTTGAGATTTTTTAAGTTTTTACACGAGAGAGAGAGAGAGAAAAAAAGGGAGTCAAAATGGAAAAAAATTTAATTTACTTTCTTTTAAATATTATAATTAAACCAAGTGGGAACAATAACGGCCCTTTTTTTTTTAATCATTTTACAATGATAACGTTATTTAATCAATTTCCCTCGGGTATTTAAATTTATTTTTTCTAATTTTTAATTTTTATAAAATCCATTTACATTGTAAAATAAAATAAGAATAATTAAAATAGGTTTTTTTTACATAAAAAATAAAAAAATTTAACTTTTTTTCTCAAATAGAATAAAAATAGCTAAAAAAAAATTTTTATATAAAAAATTATTACAGTTACCGTATAATAACAATATTTAAAAAT